CTGAACCTGAGGAAAAACTTCTTCACTGTGAGGGTGACAGAGCATTGGAACAGGTTGCCCAGAGAGGTAGTGGAGTCTCCTTCGCTGGAGATATTCAAAACCCATCTGGATGTGATCCTGGGCAATATGCTCTAGGTGACCCTGCTTGAGCAGGGAGGTTGGACTAGATGATCTCCAGAGGTCCCTTCCAACCTAAATGATTCTGTGATTCTGTAGTGACAACCAAGTTCTTTTTGCTCCTGTGAATCTTTTGGAAAAGCTTCCCTCGCAGAGGATCTGTTTGTCTCATCTTTCAAAGGCCCAGTCTTTGCTAGATGGTAGGAAGCTGCGGTGGAAGAGGGAGGCCTAACTTTCCTGAGTTTTTGGTGTGGACCAAAGGAGTTCTGTATTTCACATCCTAAGTCTTTTGGATCAGAGCTATCTGCTTGGGCTAAAGTGTTGATTCTGCTACGTTGTTTCTCTTAGTGTATCTGTTTTCAAGTACTCAAATTAACATTGGAGTAGTATGAAAGCTGTAATTTGATAATGTGCATCTAATGTGAAAAAAAATTGTTGGTTCTTCCGCTGGTTTGTAGTAGGCCCTTTAGCAAAGTATTTAACTTTGCACTTAAGCTTCACATTCCTCATTCTTCTCATTAAACGTGGAAAATATTATCCCCATAGCCAAGTAAACTGCAGTTTTAAATAATGAATATTGTTAAACGTTTTGTCTTGTGGAAACTCACCCTGTGAGCATTAGTATAATTATTAATGGCCCCATGGTGATAAAATCGAATCTTTATGAATAACTACAGTAGGCTGGGCTGCAATTGAGCATGGCATGTAATGCTGTGTTTCTGCTCTCCCATGCACCACAGCTAAAAGGCAAAGAAAGGGCTGTTTATGGGTTTTGATTTAGTTGTTCTGACAGTGTAAAAACTTGGCACCTTGGTGCTGTTGGCTTGTGACACTACCTCAAAGGAAGCTGCATGAGTGAACGCGGTTTGGTTCACTAAAGCATTCCCGATGGAGCTATGGGAAGACAGAATCTTTCCATGTCTCTGTAAATGCCAGATATGGTTCTATCAGCAGATGCCTTTTCATGTTGCACCTGGCACTTAACTGTACTGTTCAGTGAAGGGACGTGTATTCTCATTTTTCAGCATGTTTTATTGAACTTTCAGGAAGTCCTGGTTCAGTTGTGGGTACTTGATGAGCTCTGCACAGGCTGAGTAGGTAAATGCAGGCATGTTCCTAGGTCCTGTCCATAAGCGTCTCCGGGCCACAGAGCTATCTTCCAAAAATCTCAGAATTGGTATTTTTTTAAATGCTTTTTTTTTTTTTTTACTCTTCTTTCTTCAAGGCTATGGCAGAGTTTTTAGTAAGTTAGAAGCCAGGTCTGCGGCAAGGTATGAAGCAGGCTGACTAGGCAAACAGCAGAGGCCTGGAAAACTTGTGGTATTGAACTTCCGAGGTCCCCACTTCCAGCACAGTGTGGCATGCACAGGGCAGGTGAGGAGAAAGAATGTCTGAGTTTGGCTATGCAGGCAATATGGAAGTTGCAAATGACCAAAGAGTTGGACCAAGTAGAGAAAAGGGGAGGAAAAAAATCTAGAGTTGGAAATAATTCTTGGCTGATTGTACATTATTTGATATTTAATCTATGAGCGTATGTGTGCATCTGGTTCTGTGTGCAAGGAGTGGGAACAAATGACATTCAGTGGAGATAAACTAAATGCTAAACTAATGTTGCCACAGAGTTTCAGGATGCTTGCTATGAAAATTATTCCTTTTGAGCCACAGAGGTAAAGATGAGATTTGGAGATATGTATTCAAAGTTACTGGACTTGACTTAGACAGTCCTGGGTTTTGTTCAGCTGTATAAGAGTATAACCTGGCTCCACTGTGCTGTCAGCTGGTGATGCTGCCACAGTTGAAGCTGGCTGCATGAGCCTGTCCCTGGAGTGCAGGAACAGGGGAGGGCTGGCCGTGGGCATGTCAACAGGAGTCATCGGAGCCCAGCAAAGAGCTGGCTGTCATGATCTTTGCTCTGAAGCCAAAGTCTTGCTGGGCTGACTTTATGAAGTGGTAAAACTGTGTACCCCTTTATAAAGCACTGTCCAGAACGTACACGGGATTTTACGGATCAAATACAGAAGCTCTGTCAGGCAAGTAAACCTATAGACATTACTTGACCTGGCCAGTCATACACTGATTTATTTGCAGAGGTTAGCAAGTTGCATATATAGAAAAGTGTTACCTGCAGTCTCTGACTCTGCAGGAGATACTGAGTTTTGAATGTGCTTAGAGTCATGGTTTGGAAGGACTTAATGCATTAGCATTTCAGAGTCTGCACTGTCATTCAAATGCAAACACTGCTGTTCAGTGGTGCCAAGGGTGGCAACAAGGTCTGGCAAGGTCATCGTGAGCATTCGTAGGAGGGAACTTGGCAGCAGCAGGAGCAGAGCAGGTGCAGTGAGGCACCCAGCACTGGAGAGAGAAGTTATGCCCGCTCCTTGATGCAGCGGTGCTGGGGGCGGTCAGCGACTGAGAGATACGGCGTTGGGCAGGGGAGTGGGAAGAGTATGCAACAGCAGTAGGGGTTTGTGGCTGCTAGGAGAAGCAGCGTTTGAAGCACTCGATATGGATAATGTCCGGGCCCTGAGACTGTGTAAGGGTAGAAGGTTTGATACGTCCATGCCTTGACATTTATGTTACACCACGTGGGCCTTCACGCCATGTCCGTGACGAAACGGAGTAGGATCAGAGCCTTGTTGTCGCTTTGCTTCTGCATGTGAGCACCTGGAATCACCACTTTTGGACTTTGCAAATGCAGTCAGTGCAGGTGTCACAGATTATACCAAGGAAGCTTTGGCCCATGGTCTTTTGGCATTTGCTTGGTTAAAGTGCATTAAAATAATTTGCATTCACGTTTAATTTGCAGGTTGGGATGTTTAAGATTCATCCTGAAACTCCAGAGTCGCTGTCTGCTGAAGCAAGGGCCTTTATTTTGCTCTGTTTTGAACCTGATCCTAGTAAACGCGTTACAGCATCTGGTTTGCTCAGAGACGCCTTCCTGAAGCAAGTGAACAAGGGCAAGAAAAACAGAATTGCATTCAAGCCTTCAGGTGAGGAATTATCAGCCAGATGGAAGTCAACATCATCATTAAGTGCTGCATAAAGGATTGGAACCATTAAGCAATTTCTGTTAGTAAGGATGTTGGCTGTGCCAAGAAATCAGCAGGAGCCCAACTGTTAAAAGTGTCTGTGATTTGTAATTATGTTTAAATTTAACGATTCCCTTAAAAAGGTGTCTCGCTTATTTTGTGCTTTGCTTGCTGAAACCTCCCAAACCTATTCTTCCTCTCCCAAAAATAAATGCCTCATTTTAAGTAAATTAAAATTAGAAAAATGACATTCAGTCAAGACTTTCCAAAGAAATTCTGCATTTTAGGTTCACCATTATATACACCATAGAGATCTGAGATTTAGTGCATATGTCCTTGGCACCTGAAAATGAGTTTCCCTTTATGCTATGTCAAACTGGGGACATGAATCTTGGGGGTGCCTCTCTGGGCCCCCCCCCCCCTTTTTTTGTCATGCACACCTGAATTTGTTCAGTTTATGTGGGTCTGTTTGGTGTTTATGGGTGAGCATTTTAAACTTAATATGTAACTTGGAAATTTAGCATTTAGGTGCTGAATTAGGTGTTTGGGGGTGTTGTTTTGTTTCATCCCCCTAGTGTCTTCTCCCTCCCCTGCCCCCGATAAACTGAATATCTTCTGCTCCCATTGGAAGTCAGCCACTTTCTCAGTGATAAGAAAGCAAACCTTAATATTGACCTGCCAAAGAAATTAATATTTGAAGGAGGCTCTCATTTAAAAACAAGTACAACCCTTGGTCTTGTATCTTCTTTCCCTTGCTTATTCACACACGTGCACATACTCTCGATGCAAACTGAATTAAGTTTCTCTTTTGGGGTATTTTTCCCCCTCAGCAGGGAATTTTGGAGACAAAGAAAAGGGTGGAATTCTAAGGGGAAAAAAATAGCAAAGACTCTGTAACATTTAGCTGAATTGATTTTTGTGGGGGGAAACGGGTGGCTCCCCTTGACCTGAGGGGCAGTGGGTAAGGAGAACAGCTGCCATCCCTGCAGCTCCCTGGCCGCCCCTGTCGGGCACAGGCGCTGGGCTAACTGCAGAGCTCACACGACTCAACCAGGGGTGGCAGCCGGGAGCCTACGGGAAGGGCTGTGGCCTCCCGCACTGCCACACTGCTCTCCTGGAGCCTTTTTGGCCCTTGGCCGAGGATGTATTTCTGGAGGAGTCAGGCAACGTTAGAAAGGATGTAGCCTGACTTGTTAGCTGCGCTGGGAACAACAAGTTTTTTTTGTCAACTGCCAGGGGAGCCACGGTTGTCTTCTGCGCCCCCTGCCTCCCTCCCTCTCTCCTCCCATCGCTGAGGACATGGTGGGCCTCCTCTGGATGACAGGAAGAGGTGGTCTTGCCGTAGAGCCACTGGCGCTGTGGCAGGAAGTGAGTGCAGCGTTGGCTGTGGATGCCAGCAGAGCGGGCAGCTGCTGCGAACGCTGTTCACTGGGGAAGGGAAGGAACGGCAAAATGGCTCCTGCTGGGCATTTGCTTCACTGCACCGGAGCTGGGGCGAG